AAAAAAAAAAAAAAAAAATTATAAAATGTACCAATAAAATCCTAATACATAAAAAAAGCTCGAACTAATAAAAAGGCTGTCTAGTTTATCAGGTTAAAAAAACAAAACAAAACTGGGGATGTGGTAGTTAAGTAGTAGTATTCCCCTGGCTTCCATTCTCAATGAGTATCAGTAGCTTTGAAACTTTTTTACTTTCTCAAACAGAAGACTAAGAATAGAGGCTGACTCGCAGGCTGTGGGGTACGTGCATGTATCCCAGCACTCAGGAGGCTCACTGCAAGCCCAAGGCCAGCCTGAGGTACACAGTGAACGCAAGGCCAGCCTGAACTGCAGAGTGGGACCCCGCCTTAAAAATACCAAAAAAAAAAAAAAAAAAAAAAAGAGGCAAACTGGTAATATAGTAATTAAGTACAAATTCTAAGCTAAAAACAAAAATCTTAGCTTCATTTTTTTTTTTTTTTTGGCGGAACTGGGGATTGAACTCAGACCCTTACGCTTGCCAGGCAAGCGCTTATTCTACTGAGCCATCTCCCTGGCCCCCAAAAATCTTAACTTCAAATCCTGAAATATCTCTAGTTTCAATCTAACAGCAAACAGTCTAACTGCAGTGACAATTATTATAATAGGTAAAAAAATTCTACATAGTCTCTATTTCCATAAATATTTAAAAAGTCAGGTGCGGTGGCACACACCTGTAATCCCAGCACCCACGAAGCCAAGGCAGGAGGACTGCCTGAATTCGAGACTAACCCTGAATTACGAAGCAAGCTGAAGGCCAGGCTGAACTGCACAGCAAGGCCCCAACTCAAATAAAATAAAATGTAAAATATAAAATAAAATAAAACCAGGGCTGGGTGTAGTTCAGCAACAGGAGCCTTGTGTACCATACACCAAGTTCCTGGGTTTCATGCCAGTACCACAAACACACACACACACACCCATGCATACATGCAAAACGAAGATACTACGGTTTCTAGCTAGCGGCCCTCCAAAGCCTCATGCGCTACGTGGGGCTTCTGGAAGGTGACTGGATCACAGAGGAATGAATCACATCTGTGGATTAGTCTACTTACAAGTTTAAAGCTAAGTGTGATTTAGGAGGTAAACTCTGGTCGGAGGCTACTGCTCACGGGGGCCTGGGCTGCAGTGTCTACCTCTCCCCATCTCACTCTCTGCTTCCTGCCTGCCATGCCCTGAGCAACTCTCCTCTGTCATGCTGCCCTGCACTGGAACCCCCTAAGGACTGAAACCTCTGCAAACTATAAGCCAAAATAAACTTTTCTCCTTGAAACTGTAGCTACTAGGAGCCAGGAACATACCTCAATGGCACAGTGCCTGCCTGGCAAGCATAAGGTCCTGAGTTTGATTCCTGGTACAATAAATAAATAAATAAATAAATAGTAGCTATCAGGTACTTTATCTCAGCAATGAAAAAGGAACTAAGAGAGAAGATACATCTCCTCACATGCAAAAGAACATAGCCAAGAATGGCCTCCCGTGACCAGAAAACTATTCTACAGAGTCAATGTACTTGAAACACCTATTACAATGGTCCATGACGCTGATACCTGAGACTTGACCCGTCTTGTTCTCTTAGGCAGAATGGTCATCCTGGTGCCCGGCTCAGGGGAAGTTTGGATATCAGCACTGAGAACCTCAGGTTCCACTTTTTCCTTAAGATCTAAATTAGGCATTTGTACACCCTAAAAGATCAGAACACAGAAAGAGGGCAGACTCGCTGATAAGAAATGTGTTTAAGCATCAGTGAAGTAATATATTTCCAGTAAATCCCTGAAGCTACTGAAACCAGGTTGCAATTTTCTCTCAAATTGATCTTAGGCTGAAGGTAATACCTATCAAAACCTCAACATCTAATTTTTTTATGTGTACAAAGGGAAAGCAGATTCTAATATTTATGTAGAAACAAAAATTGCTTCCAAATTTTGAAAAAGAAAATTACAAACAACTTATCCTACTGAACACCAAATTCTACTATAAAGCTGCAGTACCTAGTATGGTATGTGTTAGACATTCATAATAACTCTACTCTTATCCACAGGCTTACATTCATCTCCAGTGGATGCCTGCAATTCTAGGAATTTCCAAATCCTACATAATGATTTTTTTCTATACATGTATATCTATAATACTGTTTAATTTATAAATCAGGAACAGAAAGAGATTAGCAATGATATAAAATAGAAAATTGCAACATAATAAAATTTACATAAATCTTGTTTGTCCCACTCAAAATATCTTATCATACTTTCATCTTTCCGCCTAGAGGAAGCACTGTACAGCTTCTCTTTGGCACATCTGAACTGCCAGCAACACTACCTTGCACTTTGAGGCCATATTAAGTGAAATAAGGGGAACTTCACCATAAGCACTATGAAACTACAAGAGTAGATCTAGTAAGTAGGATGGCTACTAAGTAAATAAAGGGCACAAAGAAATAATTCACATCCAGCACAGAAGGGTACAAAATTCTTAATCAGAATATGAAATTTGGAATTTATGAACTACTTATTGTTCGAATTTTCTATTTAATATTTTCAGACTATGGTTAACTAGAGTAACTAAAACCACAAAAATAAAACTACAAATGAAGAAAGGACTATTATAGATTAATGTAGCAATAAACTCACAAACCTACGGTCAAGTTAATTTTCAACAAAGGTGCCAAGGTAACATAATGGAAAAAGACAGTGTTCTACGAGAAATGGCCCCAGGCATGGTAATACACAGCTGTAATCCCAGTACTCAGGAGGCTAAGGCTGGAAGATTGTGGCAAATTCAAGATCATGTATTTCTTGAGCTACATAAATAGACTCTGTCTCAAAAAACCAAAAACAATAATAAATAAATAAAATAGGGCTGCTACAAGTGACTATTCATATGCTCCCCAAATGCTTACCTCACTGTATATGCAAAAAGAAAAAAATCTAGGTAAAATGCAGTACAGAAGTAAACATAACAGTTAAAGCCTGGTGTGGTGGCACACACCTATAATCCCAAGAGGCTAAGGCAAGAGGATTGTTTTGAGTTCAAGGCCAGCCTGATCTACACAGTAAGTAGATAGTCATAGTAAGACCCTGTCTGAAAGCAAAACAAACAAAAAAAAAAGTTAAAATTACAAAACTTCTAAGTAAAAACAAAGAAGAAAAATATTTGCTGGTCTGTTACCAAAAAAATTGTTTTTCTTTTCTAAGCCAGACACCAAAACTTATTATATGATTCTCTCAATTGGAAATTCCTTACAAAGGTAAAAACTACAGAGCCAGAAAGCACACAAGTAGATAATGCCTGAGTCTCAGGTAGAACTGAAACTACCCACAGAATATTAAAGAACTTTTCTGACAGGTAGAAGTGTTCTAGAACTGGACTGCAGTGAATGCTGCAGAAATGTACACATTCATTAAAACTTAACTATTTACCTGCTATGGCTAAGGCGATAGTACAAAATGACATGTGAAAAATAGGAGAAACATAAAGGAGGAATTTTTCAAACTACCCTTTACCTTGTAAGTCACTAAAAACAGTTATGATTTTTTCCTTTTTAGTTAGTATTTTCTGACCAATTTTGCATGCTTATATCTGGTAATAAATATGAACAACTAAATTGAAGACAACCATTGTTGAATTCCTATCATCTGTTTAGTGAAAGTCTGTATTATTTCTAATAGTTTTTTAAAATTATTTTTTAATTCTCTTAAAAAAAAAATGAAAAAAGGTAAAAGGTATAAGTAGCCAGATGTGGAGCACATCTGTAATCCCAGGACTCGGGAGGCGTGAAGCAGGTGGATTGCAGTGAGCGCGAGGTCAGCCTGGGCTACAAAGTGAGTGCAAGGTCAGCCTGAATTGTGTAAGGAAACCCTCAAGCACCTTCTAGGAATAGTTATGATTTTTAAACTATAATATACACCTTGTTTCCCACATTTCAGTTCCTGGAGAAATCGACTCCATCTTGCTATGCATAATCAATTACTAACTTGTGGTAAACAGTTTCCAGTTAGAAAGCGGGTATTATCAACTCTAAGAACAATGCCGCATCTTACCATAAGGCTGACACCAGACTGGAACAGTTCATATGGGTAGAGAATTCTTTCATAGTGGGACTTCAAAAGAGACCCAGTTCCTTTTCCTGGCAGATACCCCAAGCGGCTTCCCACTTTAGACCATTTCTTCTCCTTGGTGACCATTTCAAAACCTCCTTTGCTGGCAACAATCTGAAAAGGTGTAAGTTATTTAAGGAAAGACTCAATTATCTTAATTTTATATCTTATCTGCTAAATACAACAATTATTCTAGGCTTATATTTCAAATTTTCTACATATGATCTGATGTTGAGTACATACGTATCAATTATTATATCTTAATGACCTGATGTCCTTTCAAATTTTCTCTCAATAAATATGTGACCAACCTGACAAATTTAAAGGAACAGAGAAAATGATCTTTTAAGAGAAATGATCTTACTCTAAAATTTAGAGCCGGGGATACAGCTCAGAAGCACAATACCTGCCTGACAAGCGCAAGGTCCTGAGTTTGATTTCCAGTAGCAAAAAGATAAAATTTAATAAATACTACACCTGCCTTTAAACAATGTATTCAAAAATATTTTACAAATTTAGACTCTGTATATTATGTACTGTGAAAAACTAAATATACACATACATTCTTATAGCTTCAAGGAACTAATAATCTGAACTAAAAGTAAAAATAGCTATGAGAATGTTATAGTTTGTGTCTAGTTGTCGCCTTAGAGCCTCATGTAAGTCATGGGGTGGAATACTAACTAGAGTTTGTGATTGACTCGGGATCCGCTGGGATTAGGGGTGTGAGTGCTACACCTACCCTGGGGCGGAGGGCTTGAACGCACCCTAAGGGAGACAGCCTTGCTCTCTGCTACCGCTGGTGCTGCTCCTCCTCCCTTTTGCTCTTGTTGTTTTGCTGTTTTCCACCACTATGAGCTGCTGCCCTCTGCCATGTGCCGCTCTGCCTTGTGCCGCTCTGCCTTGCAGCCAGCTGTATATGGACTGAAACCTCCACGAACTGGGAGCTAAATAAACCTTTCCTTCCTTAATTTTGGGTGTTGGGTACTTTGTCCCACAACAAGACAAAAATGAGACAGAGAATAAATATAAGTTATATGAAGTTTGAAATTAGAATATATACCAAAAAATATGTAAAATTTAACAAAAATGTCAAGCAAACTACGGATACAGATGACAGTTCTGAAAAATCTTAAGGAAAAGAATATATTTATTGAGGAAAAGTTTCTGTCCCAGAGAGACAGGAGGGGACCCCAGTGAGTTGCCAAGGAACCTGCCGTTTCTAAAGTTTTTTTTTTTTTTTTTTTGCGGTACCAGGGATTGAATTTAGGACCCTGCGCTTGCCAGGCAAGCGCTTATTCTACTAAGCTATTTCCCCAGCCCAAAAGATTTTTTTTTCTCATGGCTGAGGCTGCCTGAAGGGCAGGTCTGGTAAGGCAGGTGGAGCTGGGGATCAAACCACAGTATCCTGCACCTGACTGTGTTTGCATGAGCAGGCGTTTAAACAACTGAGCTAATGGGCAGGTTCCCTAAAGATTTTTACAGAGCAAAACCACTTGTTCTAATACATCCTGTGACACAAAAGACATTCTAATACATACTTAAAGACATTCTGATATATCCTGTAACACAAAACTTGAAAAACATGTAATTGAAATAAAAATCAGACAGAACAAACACTGCATAATTATATAATTTACCTAGAATAAGCAAATTCACAGAAACAAAGTATAATAGATGTCACTAAAGTGAGAGTACAGGGGCTCTGAAGGCGGGTATTAGCAATGATTATATGGCAGTTAATGGACTTAATGCCACCGGACCCCACAGCTGAAAATGGTTAAAAATGCCAGGTGTGCTGGTGGCCACCTGTAATCTCAGGACTCAGGAGACTGAGGGCAGATGATCATTATAGCTTAAGGCCAGCCTCAACTACAAAGTGAGACCTTGTTTCAAACACTCCAAAAAAAAAAAAAAAAGTTAAAATGCAGTTGGGTATTGTAGCACAGTAGTAGAACACATGCCTACCATGTATGAGGCCCTAAATTCAGTCCTCAATGCCTAACAAAACCAATGGTTAAAACCTTAAATGTTGGGGCCAGGGAGATTGTTCATTAGAATAAGTGCTTGCCTGGCAAGTGCAAGGGCCCGAGTTCAATCCCCAGTTCTGCCACAAAAAAAAAAAAAAAAAAAAAAAAAGGATCCGCTTGGGGTTGGGGGGATACCTCAGTAGAATAAGCGCTGCCTGGCAAGTGCCAGGTCCTGAGTTCAATCCCCAGTTCCACCAAAAAAAAAATCCCCTAAATCCCCCCACCAACTGGGGATTGAACTCACGCCCTTGCACTTGCCAGACAAGCGCTTATTCTACTGAGCTAACTCCCCGGCCCCAACCCGAAATGTTGTGTATATTTTATCACAATTGTTTTAAAAATTACTAAGAGCCCTGGGCATGGTGGTACACAGAAGAATCTTAGCTACTCGTCAAGCTTAGGCAAAAGGACCACAAATTCAAGGCCATTTGAGGTAACTTACAAGCAGCCTGTCTCAAAACAAAAAATAAAATGGGCTGAGGATATAGGTTGAGTGACAAAAGCATTGGCCTAGTACACCGAGGGCCCTAGCTTCAATCCTCAGTACCAGAAAAAAGAAGAGAAAGAAAGAAAAGAGCTGGGCACAATGACAAGCACCTCACAGATGCAGTTCCAGCACTCAAGACTGAGGCAGGAGGATTATTTGGTTCACATCTCCCAAAGGCACCTGTACAACACATCTAGACGCTGCTAAAAAATAAATAAATAAATAAAATAAAAATTAAGAGAATGAACGCTGGAGCCAGACTATCAGTGTTCAAATCCCAACTCTATCATTTAATATCTGTGTTGCCCTGGTAAGTCATAGTTTTGTGACTTAGTTTCTTTTCTTTTTACTACCAGGAATCAAACTCACAACCTCATGCTTCCCAGGCAGGCACTGTGCCACTGAGCTATATTCACATTCCTAGTTTCCTTGATTTCTACCATTAAAATACTAATAGCTTTTAACAGCACCTGCCTCATTAGGAGCCTATTCTGAGGATAGAAGACATAAAACAAGAAAAGTAACAAAACAAAGTAAGTGCTGTATTAAAGTCCACTAGAGTACAAGTCTGTGGTTGGCCAGGTATAACTTGACTTTCTTCACTGAAATGAGTGAAGAAGGTGTCCTCAACTCTTTCCCCTTGAATGCTATTATAGACAATGATGAGCCCAGTCAAAGCACAATTTTCCTCTAGTGACGTATCTAAAAGTATGGTACAGGGCCAGGGATATAGTTCAGTGGCACAGTGCCTGTCTGGCAAGTGTGAGGCTGGATTTGATTCTCAGTACCAAAAAAAAAAAAAAAGTGTGGCATTAAACTCATCCATTTATATACACAAGAACTGAACATCTCTAATTCTTTTTTTTCTTTCTTTCTTTTTTTTTTTTTTTTTAGCTGGCTCAGGCTGCCTTAAGGGCAGGTGGAGCTGGGGATTGAACTGCAGTATCCTGCAGTTGACTGCATTTTCATGAGCAGATGCTCAAACAACTGAGCTAACCAGCAGGCCCCCCTGAACATCTCTAATTCTTCAGCACCTCCTATTGTACCTTCAAAGCAACCATCTCTGTTGACAAGATCTAACCAAGGACAAAATTATAAAGAGAAAAAAATTACTTTTCCCATTTTATATTACTGAGAAGATATAATGAAGGTGGCTTAGATAAAAGGCTATCTAAAACCCTGTAATCCCAGCACTTGGGAGGCTGAGGTAGAAGGATCATTGTGAGTTAAAGGCTGGCTTGGCTAGATAGCAATAGCCTGTCTCAAGAAAACAAAATAAAAACATAAATAAAAAATAAACAGCATAATGGCACACACCTGTAATCCCAGCACTTGTAAAGCTGAAGCAGGATTACTGTGAGTTCAAGGGTAGCCTGAACTACAAAGCAAAACCCTGACTCAATAAATAAACAGGCTGTCCAAAAGCAACTGGATGAATCAGAGCACCTTCATTCTACATATATTTTTTCAGTGTTTCCACACTGCCAGCTAGCACTCTAGGTACTTGCAATAGACACATTCATGAACAAAGACCTTTCCTCTCAGAGAGCTTATATTTTATTAGAGGAAGAGAGATAATAACAATAAAGCCAATAAATGCATGAATTAGGTGACAAAGTACTGTTAGGGTTCATATCTGAATGTCCCTCCCCACCAAGGCCTCATGCGCTCAGCAGGAAGAGCTTTTCAACAGGAACTGGATTACAGGAGCACTATACCTGACTTGATGTTACAAGCTGGGATCAGATCCGAAGTGGCCAATCACTGGGAATGGGACCTCTAAGGGTCATGGCAAGTCTAAGGAGTAATCTGAGGGCTACAGATTACAGTGAACTACAGTGAGCTACAGTGTAGTTCAAGGATAGAACAGTTATCTAGTACGGGTGTAATTCAGTGGAAGAACATTTACTTAGCACATGTAAAGCCCTGGGTTCCATCCCTAGCACTACCAAATCAACAAATATAAAATCTGAGAAAAGACTTAATCAACCTAGCAGATATATTAGGGAACCATCAGAGCACAGATCCCAGCTGGAAGCACACTAGTGTGGAACAACAGAAATGGAAAGAACAGAGGCTTCTCAATCTGCACTGTCCCAGGAGCAAGGCAAAGGAAATTCCAACAGTGACATTGGTGGAAGCAAATTTCAGACCCACCAGTGACCTTAAAAAACAACCAGTCTAGACTGGAGCAGGATGACTTCAAGAAGAAAAAGAGACTGACTGATTATATGAAAGGTAGAGCCACAGTGAGAGTTGTTCTACTGTCAAAGTTTGAAAATAAGCTTTTATGATTACAGGGAAAACTAAACAAATAACAGAAAGAGTTGAGATTATTAACTTCAAGAAAATACCAGTAAGAGAGGGCTGGGGAGATAGCTCAGTGGTCTAAATGCCTGCCTGGCAAGCACAAGGACCCAAGTTTGATTCCCGGTACCACATGCCTTGCCAGCCCCAAAACCAGGTATGGTGGCACATGCCTGTAATCCCATCAATGGGGAGGCTGAGAAAGGAGGATCACTACGAGTCTGAACTGCGAGCGAGACCCTGTATCAAATAAATAAATAAAAATTAGGAAAAAAAATACCAACAACTAA